CCCCCCTGACGTGATGGCTGGGACTGCCTCTTTGGTCAGGCGTGTGATGTTAGCTGGTACTGATGATTTCACAGACCTTACAGCAGTGCAGGGGCAGGATGCTCCCCATCATTCCTGCTTTAATGAGATCATTTGTAGTAGAATTGCCCATGCAATACAACAACAAGTTCTTAAACACTGACATAGACATAGTAATTTTTTGTCTGGACAAGCAAAGAGGTTACCCAAACCAGTAAGTACTGCCTAACATCACCATCATTTTGTAAAATGAAGGATTTTTTTAAAGTAGGGCAATTTGACATTGCAGTCATATCTGAATGTCATTGGGAGTCTTCGTATTCCCATGAAACTGAAACAGCCACACAGACCTTGTCTCGGCGGGGCGGCAGGAGCCTGGGTTTGTTCAGCCCCAGGGCCTTTGCCGCTGGCATCCCTCGGCCTGCAATGTGCTTCTCCTAGATCTTGCCATGCCTGCCTCCTCCACATCAGTTAGCTTTTAGTTACAATGTAACCTCTTCAGAAAAGCCCATCTACTACCCGCCTTCCTGCACAGGATTTTCTTTACAGCTCTCGTTACCCTCTGAAGTTGTTATTACTGCTTGTTTACGAAGTTTATGATCTCTCTTCCTCTATTGCACGATAGCGGAAACATGTTTACTTGTATTTTATTGACGGTGCTAAGGCATTCGACTACGGGGACCATAACAAACCATGGATGGCCTTGAGAAAAGGTAACTCCAGACCCCTGGTTGTTGTGTTAACAGAACAAGGGAAAGGTGTGTGTCCGGGTTGCATCTTCTCGCCATATTTATTCAACCTGTAGGCGAGCAAATCTTGTTCATCTGATGAAGAACGTGGTATCAGGATTGGAGGAAGTTCTTTTTAACAACCTGCTGCAGATGACACATCCTTGCTTGCTTAAAATGAGGAAAACTTCGACCACTTGTTGATGAAGATTGAGGATTTCAGATTTCAGTGTGGATTACAACTCAATGTAAAGAAAACCAAAATTCTCACAACTGGACCAGTAGGTCACATGATTAAACAGAGACAAAGTTGAAATTGCAAAGGATTTTATCTTGCCTGTGTACATGGAAACGGATCAAATAATGCCTTGCAGTGGGTAAATCTG